ACTTTGTTGTTTTACGCATTCCACCTGCATCGAAAAGTGATAAGGGGTAAGGGGCTAATTCATACTCAAAAAGAACGCGCCAAGTACACTACCTCACTGATGGTGCGGAAATGTGTGCATATCATGTATAATGTGACTCTTAGAATTGCGATATCTCAGGAATGGGAACTCTTAGGAAAGAAATTGTTAAGACCATTTTTGTAGAGAATTTTAAGATCTACAACTTTGGTTAGAAGTTTTTTTTGATAAAACTTACCGTTTTTAAGCAAAATCCAAAAAATCTAAAATTTCGCCCTTTGACCTTGAATAACTTTTAACGCACACATAGAATCGATGGGGACTTTTCAGACTTTATTTGTAATGGTAAGCTACAGCTCTCCACCAAAATTTAGCTTTCCGGCAATTTTTGTAACTTGACCACTCTTTTTATGTCTAAATTGACCGGACTATAAGAGAACACTTCATTTTTCCAACGAACAGTAGTAGACGACTCAACATCCCAAGGGAGTGCGATCACATCCCAGGGCCAATTTCAGAAAGATATCGTAATATTATTGTATGGTCAATTTTCATTCTAGAAGCAAGTTCCCTTGAAGATAAAGTTGGATTCGTTTCCACCAATGTTTTCAGAGCATCATTTTTTACAGACGTCTTGGATTTTCTTTTAAAGGGAAAATTCAGGAGACCGAAGTTTTTCAAACCAACGATACACTTTTTGATCGTTAACAGTATTCTCCTCGAACGCCTGGTTTATATTGCGTGCAAATTTTGCACCATTATTACCAAGTTTATACTCATATATAAAAATTACACAAATATCGGTTGAATTCATATCCTCACAAAATTTAAAAAAAATTTTAAAATTGAACACTTTTGAGAAAATCTGCTTTGTTAAAATGTAACTCTGGCAATGGACAGTACGAACATAAAAAAAAAACAGAAAATCCGACATTTCATATGCACCAACCTAATATATAATAAAATAAAAATATATATAAATAAAAAATATCTACGAATTATATTGATTTATTTTAATGTTATATCCAATAATATTTTATATGATTTATGTATTAGATATCAGAGTATCTTAAATTTTAGAAAAATTCTGTAACGCATTGTTTACCATGTTAATTAATTATTTTTATAGTTTGTTTTATTGTTATTATGACTGTTGAGGTACCGGTGCCTTGCTCGTTACTACATTATTTATTTATCGCAAAATAATGCCGATGTATATGTGATATCGATTGTTGTTGTATTGTCGTTTGTTGTTACGTGTGATGTGTTGAACGATGCTTTGACAATATGCTGCTTAATGACTACGTTGCTTGTAGATTCGTGATTTTCTGCTACGATGCTTGCGTGATCTTTCTCATTGTAGTCCAAAGGTGATGTTACTTCGAAAAGTCATTCTTCGTTATGTTAACTGAATCGATTGATGGGTATTAAATGCTCTCTTGTGCTGTTATTTCAAGGATTTTTATAGGAAGAAGATGATTGTCATCCTTTCACTAGGTTGATTGTCCAAAGTTAACGTTTTTTAGTGGATGTGGTAATGGAAAATTTATGCAACGGAAAAAACTAAGTTTAGGATGAAGGACTTCGTTTTCTCTTGGTAGGAACGCATGTGTTACTCAACACATCGATACCACTTGAAAGGTCTGTTGGCTGAATGGTTCGTCGTACCGCTACCTCTCGAATAATTTATAGGTTTGTTAGCCAGTTATATGTTCTTCACAAATATGCTATGATATTTCCTTTGCATCTTCGAATACGATTCTCACGATTCGAAATAATATCGAAAATTATGCTATTCGCTTTATTTCTTATCGTTGCGTTATTACGCAACAATGATAAAGGCAAAAAATAATACACGTGTATTGTAAGCATAAAAGTCTCTGTCGATCTATGACCCCTAGAAATAAAAACTGCATTCAAATGGAAGAAAAACATATCGATTCTCTGTGATTCCTAAATGTTATGTCTACAGTAACGAAATAATCTTTGCTTACTTTCATGACAAATCTATTTTAACAAACAAGAACACTTTGAGTTTATAACAAAAATTCTTCTGCATACATTTAATATATTGCTAAGAGACTCGCTAATGAAATCGAATGTTTATAAATAATAATAGTTAATTTACATAGAAAAGACCCATATTAATTAGACCTGTTTTTACCCTTCTTGATAAATCTTGAATGAATGAAGTTTTCTGGTCAAAGAAAACTAACGGATTTTTAATTGCTGAAGCACTATGATGTAATTTTAGTCCAAGGAGTTGAAAAATTAATTTTTATTTGAAAGCCGTCCCTAACGAACACACTTCCCTTTTAACTGTAACGTCAGAACAAGCCCTGGGTAATAGACAGGGCTTTACTCGCTGTCACTGTACCCAAAATGTAAGACAAAATACAGCCTTTGTTTAAAAAATGGAATATTGTGCAATTCAAAATGTCACGGCTGTCAAACGTGTTGCAATATATGATTTTTCGTTGATAAGATCAAAACTTTGACGCATATTGGAATGATTGACACAATAACTAGAGATATTTAAAGTTATTTCATATATAATATTTAGTTATTTCATGAAACAATTAATAAAAATGTATAATAAAATTATTTTTACATACTTTTCCTTGAACACCTAGTTATTTCATGAATTGACTGCATTACATGATTCTACGCCGACATTTAATATAAGTTTTTTATTATTGAACAATATTTATTTAAGCATACATGTTATATATTTATAAAAACATATCACAGTGAAATTGGACAAGGTAAAATAAATGAGAACACTATCTTGTTGAACGTTTCTTCCCTTTATTGGGATTTCTTCAGCAACTATAAAATATATTACAATATAACCTCAAAAAAATACATAGTTCGTCAAAACATTAAATAAATAGATATTAAAGACTTTACCCGAATTATAAATGTTCAGATTCTTCTATGTATTAATAAAGACATACATTGGTTTTAATAATATATATTAATTAATTTAATAATTTTATATATTGTATATTAGTATATTAAATATATATATATAAATAGTATATATAAATAAAACTATTTATTATACACCATTGTAGTAACAATGATTATCAGAATACCAGGTGTGCAGAGATAGTACCATTAGAAAGATATAATTTTTTGTTTCTAATCTAACTAATTAACAATGTTTATCAAAGTCTCAACGTCTATAAGATAACTTCGCCAATATATTTTTTGTTACTTTTGCTTTCTAAAATTACATAACATTCTAAAAGAATTTTGAGAGTGAGTGAGCGAGTGAGTGACGACTAAGAGAGAAGGAGGAAAGGAAGGAAAAATAAGAAGAAGAAGAAGAAGCATACATGTCTCCCAAACTTACTGTGAGGCCGCGCGGTGATCGGCGGTCGGAAATGTTGATGCTAAATAAAACTCCTAGCTGCTTGGGAAACTGCCACGCGCTCTAATTTGCGCAAAAGCACGGCCGGCTGTGGACGTGGTAGCCCGGGATCTGCCACGTCTGAGAAAGTGTATTCGATAGTTCTTCGAGCATCTCAAGATCATTATTGTGCTGTTCGTTTGATCAACGTGGAAAGGAAGGAAAATTGTAAAGAGATTGAGGATAAAAAGAAGAATAAAGAAAAAAAGTAGAATATCGATAAGAATCAAAGGATAACAATAGAAATTCGATCTCGCCGAATTAGTGGTTAAAAACCCCCACCCCACCCACCCGCATAATCTGATTTTCATTTCACATGTGAACGGTGGCCATATCATGGCTCTCGCCCTTTTGGGCAAGTGCGTCACACGATTGGCGCTGATATTACTTCTTTATACTTGTTACATATACGCATTCAGAATACGCGATGGAAGTGTCGTTCATCCATTTTCATCTACGATCGGTGAACACTCCCAACGTGCCACCTGTATCGGATCCAAGTTCGGTAAGTGCCCAGAGAAAACGGTGACGACGAGCAGTGCAACGGTGACGTCTTCCTCACGAAGATGGCACACGGCCACGTCTTCGCAGGTTTCTTCGATTGGTAAAAAACCACCTGTCGAAATGATTTCCTCTAACCTTGAGGGGGACACAAATGTTCAGAAAATTGGGTCGAGGTTGATAAGTACTCAGCATGCGGATAAATCATTACCTGGCTTTTCGGTCAGAAGAAAAGAAAATATTGTAGATGATAAGATGGATGATGATGATGATGATGATGAGGATAGTGATGATGAGAATGGTGAAAGCGAAGGTGAGGAAAGGAATAATATTGAGGATATTAGTAACAATGATGATGATGATGATTATGATGATGTTATAGTAGAAGACGAGGAGGAAGAGGAGATACAAGCTGAAGATGAGGATGATGAAAGCGAAGAACTCAGCAAAGATGATCAAAGCGAGGACGACGATGATGTTAACGAAGATGATGAACAATCCAAAAGTATCGAACGAAAGGAAACGAAACGAGAAGCGGAAATAAAAGACAAGGAAAAAGATAATTACGATACCATGAACGTTCTTGGTTGGAGTTTTAAATATAGTGCAGGTAGTGTTTCCAAAAGTCAAACTACCAAAGACATTAAAGAAATGAAATATGGAAAGGTTATTGTTGAGGATGAAGGTAAGGAAAAGAAAATGAGTGGCATTGTTAAAGAGAAAGATGATAAGAAAGATATTGTTAAAGATAATGTTCAAGTTGAAAAAGAAAGTTCTATTGTACGAAAGCAACAGAAGAAAATGCAAAGAAAAAATTTGGGACAAGTTGAAGAGTCCGATAAGACGGACGATGGTAAAGATAAAAATGATGATAAGAACGATAATGAAGATGGATATCAATCAAAAGACACTCCTCCGATAATTAGAAAATTAGAAAAAATTAGACACGCTGATAAAGACATAGTTAGATCGGTAGAACGTCCTGTTAGCAAATCGGTAGATAAAATGAAATTAGAAACGAAAACGCCAACTGAAAAAGGCAAAAAAGAAATGCAACAGATTATAAATAAAATGAAGATAGAAACGAAAACACCGATAGAAAAAGTGAAGAAAGAAGTACAACAGATTATAGAGGAACCTAAAAAAATAGAAACTCCTAAGCCAACAAAAACTGAACCAGCCGGTTCAGAGAAGGAAGTAAAGGAAACAAAATCTACCAAAGTAACGAAAATCAAAGTAGAAGAGAAAAAAGTAAAGAAGAGTGAAAGTATTGAACCAACCAAAGATAAATCAGACGAAGATAAGAAAACGAAGAAAACAGAAATTGTAAAAGCTACGAAAACTGAACCCGAATCATCGAAACCTTCATTGAAATCGGAAGAAAAAAGGAAACCTATTACAAAAACGGAAACACCGAAAGCCACTAAACAACCTACGAAAACTAAAAACGAAGTAGACAAATCTATTAAAGCAAAAGTAAAAATAGAAGTTCCACAAACGGCGAGTGAGTATTTTATGTGTTGAAAAGAGACCCCCATTGTCTTTTGAAAGCTTACTGTATGCGTCGTGTTTAAACAGGAAGTTGGTATCATCTGTGAACTATAATCCTGGTGCTTATTTGTGAATTTTCAAAAGATTTGAGCGACAAAAAAAAAAGAGAAAGATAATAATTCAACAATCTTGACGTATTTATGTATTTGTAGGAAACGAGACGAAATCGAAAACGAAGAAACTTAGAGACGCGACCGAAAGTTTAGCAGATTTAAATGATAAGATCTTAAGCGTACCAACCTTCGTGCCCAATTTCACAGCCGTTGAGAACACGAACTGTCAACAACATGGCAAGATATTCTTACGTCAACTGAGGGGCTACAAACTGTGGGCTTTTCAAAGTAAGCTGAAAGATTCATTGAGATATAATTTCTCCTATAGTCATCATTAAATACTTATTTAATATTATTTAGATTAAATAATATTCGTCGAATCATTCGAAAATATTTTATTTCTAGTGTTGGATTCCAGCGCTAAGATATCATCTAGTATTTTACGTGGGAACGTCAATCAACTAGGTGATTTCGATCAATGTTTAGGTATCATGTCACATGTCAAGATGGGTAATAGAACAATCAAAATTCAAGGAAAATATTGTCTTGCAAATATAGACATACACGCGACACAAGCGGAAATGAAATTACCGGTTAATTTGATGCAAGCTCGTACATTATTCAAATCAAATATGCGTGATGTAAGTGTCATTGATCAATCCCAAGTTCAAATTCTAAATAAGACATTGATTTCTATCTTTCAGCCAGGACATTTCGTACCTAAATTTACGACGATTAGATGGGCTTTATGCCTTCCAGCAGCGTGTACAGCTAAAGATGCAGAAATGACTTTAATCAACGCATTGAATTATTATAATTCAACGACTGGAATTAAATTCATGGTCGGCGTCAATCCTGACATGTGTTACACGAAACAAAAGTCGCAAAATTATTCGAAAGAAACGATCGGTGTACTGTACGTATTTGCAAATACTTCATTTTATTTGTCTAAACACTTCTAAACTCGTGATGTTAATCACGTTTGATCACAACATAAACATTTGGAATTGACACTTGGAACGTGTGGTTTCGAACGGGATGTAACAAGAATAGATTTTCGAGGTAATCGAAATTTTATCGTGAACTTTGAAACGGAGATGATGAAACAAAATTTCAAAAATTTGAGACTTATGGAAGATCTCTTTCTTTCTTTCTATTATCGTAGCATTGAACTTCACGCCCCAAGAGATATTCCATTTATCAAAAAAAATGTGTTTATTTTAATTTTGCAAATTTATAGATACTTTTATGCAGCTGTTATTTGTCTGGCTATCATTGCAACTATCAGAGATTATTGGATAACCTCAGAAGGAAAAGGTGATTAGTCATCGATGACTATTAAAATTAAGTTACACGTGACTATTGTTCTTACTTATCGTTAGTCACGTGTCAGCTGCATGAGTTCAAGGACCCCAAATCCAAATTAAGATTTAAACATGAAATAATTCAAGAATAATTGATATCATTTTTAAAAGTTAAAAGTAAATTTTTGCACAATGTCGTTGGGTTGGAATTTCAAACGTTTCTCTTGAGTTTTTGGAAAAAGAAAAACTAAGGAAATATTGTAGTTGGGTTTGTATAGATAGTTGGTGGGAATCAAAAAACGGCTTCCAGTTACAATAATAATATTATAATAATAATAATAATAGTAAACGTATGACTATTATTGATGAGAATGATATGACTATGATAATTACAATAATAATAATAATAATAATAATAATAAATAGGATAAATTATAAAGGGAAGAGTAACGTGTGAAATGGAACGTAACAACATAAATAAAGTAACCACACATCATTGAAATTTTAGATGCAAGTGTGCATATATTTGAACACATCGATCAGTAAAATTCATTTAATAAAATAGTCGTTTATGCACTACAAGGCATAATTTTCAAAGACATATATGAAAATGTAATAGTTAAGAAAGCTACAAAATTGTTATAATTATTTTTTCAATTTTTATTCTATTTATTACTGTACTGATAAATTCGAAATGCCAAATTTGGTCACTGAGTTTAGTTATCTGACTTTTGAATCAACAATGTGCACGAAGACAAAGATTCAAACTTTTTTAACATATTTATTATAATAATTTCCAGGCAATTATTCTGAAAGAATAATAATGTCATTTTCTTTACGAAGAACTGTTAAATCATTGTTTAAAGAAAACAAACCCAATGGTACAGATGTTACATGCGTTCATGGATTAAGATCAGTTTTTATGATTTTTCTTTATTTTGGTCATCAAATAATACCATTGGCCTCAACACCATTTGTTAATCGGACTTCTTTTACCGAGGTAGGGAAAATATTAATTATTTTCAATGAGATAATTAATATTAATTTTAAATAATCATTTATAAATAATTTCAGATAACTAGCCATCCATTTACTTCAATTCTGAGGACATCTTCAAATTACACGGATGCCTTTTTACTTTTGAGCGGATTTTTAACGTCTTACAACATGGCGAAGGAATTAACGTTCAGGGGAGAAATTCGTTGGTTTTGTCGTCTTATCGTCAGATTCATCAGGTGAGCCTGCTCTATAGTTCGTTAAAGTCTCGAGCATGTTGCTTAGTTTGTAATTACCGAGCGAGTTCGTGTTATAATTTAGACTGACACCTGCCTTAATCGTGATGATATTTTGGTATGCTTTTGTGATGGAGCATATCGGTTCCGGACCACAATGGAACAGTATTATTGTAGGTAATGCAGAACTCTGTAAAAAAAATGCATGGACCAATTTACTTTACATTCAGAATTTCTTTCCGTTCGAAGAAATGGTGAGTATCGATCGGAATAATAATTATTAATGCAGGATTCGTGAAAAAATTAAATCGTTGGACTGATTGGAACACTTGCACACGAACCCGAGTTTTCTATATTCCAGGTGTTTGTTCTAAGTTTAAAGCTATCCGGAGCTTATTCGATCAATTTTTTCACGTATACCTATTTTATTTGAAACGAAGGTGCTTGACTCTATATTAATATTGTTTAAATAATGTTATGTTTCTTACAGTGCGCAACTCATACTCATCAGTTAGCATTAGATATGCAATTATCGCTATTAGCACCAATTTTAGTATTCTTTCTTCAATGTAAACCGATTATCGGTATCATTTTATTATTTTTCCTGATACAAGTTTCAGCTACGCTTCGTTACATAGCCACAGTTAACAATTATTTAAGTATGGTCGTTTATCACGGAGTTACGTAAGTATAATATTTATTTTCATCGATAATTTTATTAGAAAAATTATATTTCTTATATTTAATCTATTTTTTTTTTCAGGGTAAAAAACCTTTACAAAACTGCTAATTTAAGTTACGCTTTACCATTACACAGAGCAACACCTTACGCTCTTGGTGTAGGGCTTGGTGTGTTATTACATTACACAGGAAAAAACGTGAAAATTCACAAGGTAATTTGAAACATTAGGGATAATAAAAAATTAGGATAATCGCGATAAGTATTTTTATGAATTATTTTTAGGTGTTCGTGATCTTGGGATGGTTGATCGCGATGACCTTTGGAACATGGTCGATATTTTCTTCTTGGCGTTCAGCCAGAAGGGACTACGTGTATGACGTTGAAGAATCCACTTATTACGTTGTGATAGGTCCAGTCTTATGGGCTTTATCATTGTGCTGGACAATTTTTGCCTGTTTTACTGATCACGGAGGTATTCTATTATATTATTAACCCTTTGCAGTCGAAATGCCAATATCTTTGACATGATGATTTATTTTAGCTACTTGGAATCCCAAAATGGCTGATATAAACATTTATTTTTCATTCTTTTCAAGAAATTATTATATAAATAATAAATTGTATTATTTGATATCTATAATAATCATGTTGGTAGAAGAAAATATAAAAATAATTCCCGAGTGCAAAGGGTTAAAAGAATAAGTGGTAATATGGCGACCCCTTGTTTTATATTATTTGCTAAAATCTAACTCATGATATAAACTTTTTCATTTAAAAATTCTTCTTTAAACATTGATAAATTGATAAGGATATCTATGATAAAAGATGAAAGTAAAATAAAAATTATTTCATTGGATTTAACTAATTGTATGGAAAAACCTTGGTCTTTGAGGTTATGTTACTTACGCTTATCATTAAGAAAACACCAAAAGCTATTAAATATCTAATATCTATCAGCAAGGGGTCCCATAATCTCACTCTTTCTTTACTCCTAATAAATTTGAAAAGTTAATCATACTCTACATTTATTTCTAGGAATTGTAAACAAATTTTTATCGAATTATTGGTTAATAGTATTTAGTAGAATATCATATGCGGTTTATTTGACACAATTCGCAGTATTTTTCTACAACCTTGGGACCACGAGATATACGACAGAATTTTTAGCACATAGACCTGTAAGTTTACCAAAGAAAAACATTTAACAATCATTTAAAAGTATCAAACTAAAATAATAATTTTAATTTAAATCGTATTTTAGATCGATCTGATTGAAGTACTCGTAGTGATACTCGCGTCGATTGTAGTAACTTTATTGTTTGATTTTCCAATGCAAGAAGTAAAGACCGTCATAATGGAAAGTACAGATAGTTTAATCGTTAATGTACCAAAAGAAAAACAGACAGATGAAACGAAAGAAACAAATGCAAAGGAATCAGTTAAGAAAATAGGAAACGGATCAAAAGTATTTAAGGACGACAATTGGCAAAACGAAAAAATTGATATAGGTAAGAAATTAAATAACAAAAATATAGAAGACAAAGATATTGTTAATATACCGCATACAAGAAGATCAGATGAAAGAAGAAGATCATCTACGGGGTATGACGACAATGAAATACGTAATAGAATAAGTAGAAGTAGTCAAAGAACACCGTACATGTTTGATTCCGAAGAAGAAGCTATGGAATATTTTAGAAAAGAAGAAGAAACAATAAGAAACAGACGTTCGATTTCAAGAACGAAAGAAATGAAAAGATCGGTGCCAATCGGAAGCGAGGATGATTATATTCGACGAAGAAACGAGGAAGATTATGTGAATCAGTATAGAAGATCAAAATCCAAAGAAAGAATTTTTGCTAGAGAACTTGACGATTATCGTTCATGGGAATTTATTAATAAAGAACGTTCGGCATCAACAGGTCCAGATTCGATGAGATATTTAAACGAGCCAGAAGAATACGTTTCAAGAATTTCACGACGTTCGTTACCGAGATCTGTCGATTCGAGAAGAACATTTTCATCGGAAAGTGAAGATGAACCACCAATTCAGCGTAAATCGAAACACGAGCGAAGATATCCTTCGGTTGAACCAAAAGTAAGCGATGAAGAAGAATGGGAAGAAGAATTGAGGATACGAAGGCGTCAATTTATGGAAAAACTCGCTGGTCAGAAAAGTGATTCAATTGAGAAAGAAGGAGACATAACGTCGTTAAGACGAAGATCCTCAGCCGAAGGAAGAATAGCTTTGTTGAAGGATCCTTCAGGTAACGAAAATATGGATGCTTGGACTGTAAGTGTTGGTCCTCGTATAGCTCAACTTGGATCCTCTCAGGAACCTAGCGAACCAGAAGATGATTCTTTTTATCATCAGCGTCGTGAATATCGTGAAAAGGCACCTCCGTTTAGAGAAACTCCTCATACCGAAGAAAAAGAATCCTCGGTCAAGGACGACAAAGATGTTACCCATTTCAATTTTGTTCTTACCAAGGACAGTAAGAGAAAATCTGTTCAAGATCTTTCTGCGTTGTCTCAGGATGATTCAGATTTGACGGAATCTGAATGGAGTCTTGTTAAAGAAGAGGGTGTAGAAACGTTACCAAAATCGTCATTAGGATTATATAAACGAGAATCAATTATCAAGAGTCAAGCCAGTGAAGAAGATCCAGAATATTATCTTCCGGAGAGACCGAAACTGGTCCAGCAAGAACAGGAACATCCGTTCAAAAAAGCATGGCAGATGCAAAAGTCTCGATCGGAAGAAGATGCTTTAGCGTATATAGTTAAAGATAAAAAATTGAGCCAATCTGAAACAACTAAAGACGATGAATCATCGACGAGCATGAAAGATACGAGTGGTGAAAAGTCTGAAAGTTTAGAAGACACGGTTTCGGAAGAAACGGGAACATCATCAACCTGGCAGGACAGGAGCACTGATACTGAAGATAATCCACAGAGTTCTAAATCTGAAGCAGGGTCTGATATCGATTCGATTTCAGTAAGACAATCACCCAACATTGATGTCGATGATAATGGACCCTGTTCTATTTCAGAAAATAATTCAGATACTACTCAATTCGTCTGGCCAACCGAGGACGAACAATTTGAAACATACAAGACGGGACCAAGAAGAAAATCAATGGAAACTAATTGGGATTGGGAAGAGGAAGAAACTTGACGATAAGATAATCGCAGAATTGTGCAAGGATGATTAAGTAATCTTCAAGGATGATCAGAAAAGTTTTAAACGCGTTCAGAGTGAACTGCTAACGCATTTCTGGAAAAAAGTCAGTTTATCGGTGATCGTATATGCACATATAAATAAACAGATAGCTAAGTTTATATCAATCGTTATATTATTTAATTAATAAATTACAAATGGACCATTATAAAAGAAAACAACGATAACATCCCCTTATACGTGACTTATAGCTTGCACATTTCACATTCTTGGAACACTTGTTTTCTGTATAGCACCTTTTTTCGTATTTTGCTTATTTTAAAGATGAAATTAATATTTTCATTACAATTGTTTTTTGCTTCATAAAGTATCGAATGAATTTTACTCGCTAAATTATAAGAGGATTTGTTTGAGTGTCATAATAGAGGACTCAAACATTGTCGACAATAAAAGTGCTCTGATACAAATAGGCATCCAATGTGGCAGTATTATATTTAATTATGAATAAAATATTTTCTTTTTCGCGAAAGCATACTTATAAAATAATATTCTTTTTTGCTTTTATCATCTTATAGTATTTAAATTAACAATATGGTTCACAATTAATATGATATGATGGGAATATTTACTATGCAGCATAATGTTATTCTACTAAGAACTATGATTGTCATTCCAAAATACTTCCGATTAATTCGGGAAAAAAGTATGGTAATGTAGATAATAACTTTTTATAGAGTTTTACTTAATTAAGAAACAAACCCCAAATTATTGGTTGCATGCATTAGAAGAATCCAATATTTTAGATAATTTGATATTTTAATTATGAATTTTTAAAAATAATTTAAAATCCAACTTGTATTTCGGACATATACAAAGGACATACATCAAGGATCCACTTCAGGAGTAAACAGATGATTTACCTTTAGAACATATTACATATAAATATTAACTAATTCATTGTGTAATTTGTTAAATAAATCTTACTAAATATAATCACTGATTGCTATAAAAATCGAAGAGAGTAATTAACATTTAAATAGAAATAAAATAAAATAAAAATATTTCCATGGAAAGAAGATACAAACGAGATAACAAATTTCTAAAAAATTGAGCTTAATCAGCGAATTTTTCTAACATTACTGCACATGTATAATATAAGACGTTAACAGTTTTAACAGAAGATACAATTTTATCCGAACAAAATCCTTTCGGAATCCTTGGTGTAAGTTTTAATCGAGATTCAGTGAAAGCCACCGCAAGCACTCTACTGACGACATCCTCGAGGTCCTGCGGCGTGCAAACAGCAGGGACGCAAATACCCCAGTAAAGTTCACTTATCGACTCTTTCGACCTATCCTCAACAAGTCTAAAGTTCTACCAGACAGGATCATGTGCCTTTTTAAATAATCCTCAGGCACCTTTACGGTAACTTCACTGAGACAATACTAATCACAGATATTCGTAGGTGTCTCATTTGACCCAATTTCTAGATACTCGTCAGCAGAATTGTTCAATTGGAAAACCCAATTGACTAAAATTTTCTACAAATTTTCTAATATTTCACATTTTTTGTCAAATGTTAATAACAAAACATAATAAAAGCGTTTGCTTAAATACACGTTCGAATATTCTAACACAAAATACGAACAACGTTATCACTCAACATAACCTATAAAACGAGAAAAAATAAACCATTTAATCAATCGAAAATCAATAATAATTCCTAACCAAATAGGGTATCTTTTTTCGTGCGAGAATTAAACGAAAATACAACGAAAATTAAAACTATCCTTAACTAAATAAGAATTACGTAGACTAAGATGAGCAATGAACGATATAGATCAAGTGATCGTTAAGAAAAAAAGGAAAGAAAGCTCGTCGATCTCATTACGAACGACAGGAAGCGACTAAAGATCGAGGTTGGCAAGCTTAGAGTACGTCATTAAAATTCAGTCGATAAGTTCGCGTCGTTATGTTCGAAATCCTATGGTCAAATGCCCCTCGTTAGCGCTAATTACCACAGATCTCTACATTACGATTCGGAATATTCTTCGCGAATTAACCTTTTCAAGATAGGCCCTGCTAGCTACAGTCTTTCTTTAACGTTTGCCCTAAGTTTAACGAGATTTTCAAGAGAAATGAGTTTCTTCAATGAAGATTCGTTATTTGCCCTTCTACTTCATTCGAAATTTTTTCATTCAAAATTTTTCATTCGTAGAAAGAAAAAACTAATCAGGAATTAAATATATACATATACTTTTTGTTCATATAAAGTTATAACTTTTTTAGATTTCTTTGGATTATTATTACGTGGTAAAAGAATATCTTTTTATAATAAAATTATATTTAGGATAAATGTATATACAACTGCAGTGTCAAAAATTATAAGATTTCGAAAAATTTGTAATATACAATTTTTTCTATGGCTGAAACATCTATTGTAGTATTAATATAGAAAATTTGATCCATTTATACAATATGTTTCCAATCTATTTCTAAAATAATTATATATGAAAATTTCAATTAAATTACGTCTTTAGTAGAAAAAACGTATTATGCGTATATAAATCATTCAATATCAATGTATTCCAGCTGGAAGTTTCTTAATTAATTCTTATTTGTTTATTTTTTGTCCTGTATAAACACCATATGAGCAAGTGCGATTTTAATGCATCACAAATCATAAATTTAAACGAAAAGATTGGTTCTTAGGTCATAATTCATATTTAACCGTTCTCCCCCATGGTTATCCTGTTTACGTAGACAGCTACATTGAAACTAATTACCGCCGTTTATGTCCGGTTCATTGTCATGTGCGCTCGTGCATGCGCACAAACATTTTGACAAATTGTATAAACGGTGACGTATTAACAACGTATACGTCTAACCTACGTCCTCGTACAATTACCTTACCAACGTTCAATTAACGTCGTACCCTTAAAATCTCGTCCGGTAGATTTACCCCGGTTGTATCATGACTGGTTTACAAGAAAGTATCTTGCTTTTAGAAGAAATTTTATGATTATCTTTACGTATTTGACAAACAAATTTTTGTTTCTTTATCTAATTTCGTGTTCGGATTTTAATTCATTCGTATTTTTTTTCGGCTCAAGTAATATAAGTTAGATTTTTCATAATTTTACAGGTAAATATATGACACTAATCTGATTGTAAGTAAGTAGACAAAATTTTTAAATAAATTTTATAATGTAATTTTTATACTGTAAATAATTTTTCTATTTTTATTTTACAACATTTTCTTAATAAATAAAAACATATTTCATTTTTAACGAGAAGGAAGATGAACCGGAGATCCATTTGGAAATATAATAGATTTCTAAAATTAATGAAAGGAAAGAAACATTTTATAAAAATATTTAATTTAGTTCATACAAAAAAAAAAGAAGAAAAGTCGAGATAAACGATGAAAGTTGAAAGTCAGAATTAATCGGTTATCGGTAAATAAAATATTAATACCATTTCCTATAGTTTACGTAAAACACATTGACACCAAGTTATCCTTTAGAAAAACCTTTAGAACTGTTTTACCTAGCGAATAAGAAATAATTTTTATCTTCGTTATGAGAAATGTTATAAATCCGGCAATAACCAGGTGGATCTCGTTGGTTGTCCCTTCGCTTTTCTCATTATCCGTCTATCTATTTCTGTTTCTGGTTCTTTCGCGGTGCGTTTCGCGCGGTAACGAGACACACGAAATTATACAATAGAATTCCCACGGGAAATATAGAAACGGTCGGAGAAGGAGAAGGAGAAGGAGGAGGAACCCCGACGAGTGCGGGGTTATCTGGTTATACGCTTTCTCAGGTATGACGCCGCAAAATTGCATAGCCAACGTGAAGCACGAACGTCCGAGGAATTTGAAACGGTCGAAACGCGAACGGTACGACCTTCCGTGGATCACTTCGGACCAATTTCGAGTACGATGCTTCGCGAGATCGTGGTCATAAGCGAAGGCTTGGAACGGGACCCTTGAGATTCTAAGGACTCAGGAGTTTGAACCACCTTGGCTCTTCATAAACCAAGAATGTACCGTCTCTAGTAATTTCGTGTTCCAGATTTCTGATCTTCAGTGACCAATCTAAACTCATCCTTCCAAAGTTTCATAAAGAATTTTACATTCACATATTTTTCAGAATAATAAAAAAAAAAAAATAAGAAAAAAAAATATGAAAAATGATTCAAGTAAAATTTCTTAATGTTTTTCACGTTGGTAACTTTTATTGAATTATTCGATTAATAATTATTCTTTTCTGTGTATTCATCCGACAGTGCTTGCGTTGTACCATACAAATTCTATAAACACCGTAAGGAATATCGGTTACCGGATCAGATGTGTGTGGGAAAGTTACTGCGTTGGAGATCCATTTGGAAATTAATTAATTTCTATAATGAAAGAAAGGAAAGAAATATTTTCACGTATCTACGTAGTTATATATTCTATCATTGATTAGTATGATTTTAATGGAACGATGGTGAAAATCTTTCTGATAGAGTAGAAAAATTTAATCTAATTCTGTTTAAAGATTTGCTTATCTAATTTCCAGACATTCACACCATTGATAATAACTGTATAAATCTGTAAATTAAATGAAATTTAATTAGATATATATAAAATACTTTTATAAAATATTAATTAATAGTACAAAAATAAAAATTCTTATAATAAGAGCGAGTATGTTACGTCTTATCTCTAAGTCGTTCAAAATCAAAATAAAATAATAATATGTTATACACATGAGTCACCCCTCTCCTCCTCAAACACCACATCCAGTCGTACGAGAATCTTTATCTGTGTATACATTATAAAAAAATAAATTTTCTGAAATTCACTGAATGATATAAACAAAGCCGATATTTGTCTCGTTTCAGTTTGACCTTAACTTTTTCTTATCTCTCTTTGTCTCTATCTCTATATATACATTTAATTGTACAGATTATCACTACATGTACATAGCACATAAAAATAACAAGTAAATATGCATGTTATAAAATATGCTTCTAAAACTAAGTACATAAAATAAATGTATTTATATAAAGCTACTTTTTTACACTGATCTATGTTCTATATTTATAAAGATAGACTTTCATTTATTTCTTAATATTTAGATGAATAATAAGTATATGTATATATGTGTATGTT